CAGGACACAGCCCAGGACACAGCAGGACACACAGCAGGGCATGGACTAGTGCGCGGCAGGGCATGGAGCATGGCCAGGGCACAGCCCAGCACATGGCACGGCATGGAGCAGGGAACAGCCCAGGACACAGCAGGGCACGGTGGGGCATGGAGCAGGCACAGACTAGTGCACAGCAGGGCACGGAGCATGGCCAGGGCACAGCCCGATGCACAGGAGGGCAGAGCCCAGCGCACGGCATGGCATGGAGCAGGGCACGGCCCTGGGCATGGCTTGTGGACAGCCAAGGCACAGCAGGGCACAGCCCAGGACACAGCAGGACACCAGCAGGGCACAGCCCTGGGCATGGCATGTGTATGGCCAAGGTACAGCCCGGTGCCATGCAGGGCACGGAGCAGGACACAGCTGGGTGTGCCTTGTGCACGGAGCGGGGCACGGAGCAGTGCACGGCAGGGCACAGAGCACGGCACTGCCCTGGGCATGGCTTGGGCACAGCCGGGGCACAGCCCGGGACACCGCACCGCACGGAGCAGAGCCCTGCCCTAGGCATGGCTCGTTGTCCTCGTTTCAGCTGGGATAAAGTTAATTCTCTTCCTAGTAGCCGCTGTGGTTTGGATTTAATATGAGAAGAATGTTGATAACACATAGTGTTTTAGTTGTTGCTAAGTAATGTTTATATTAAGTCAAGGATTTTTCAGCTTCCCATGGGCTGAGAGAGACCACAGGCAGGACAAGCTGGCCAAAGGAATATTCCGTACCGCAGGCGTCGTGCTCAGTATATAAATGGGGGTTGGCCGGGCAGGGGTAGGAATCTGCAATCGCTGCTCGGGATGGGCAACTGATCATGGGGTGGTGAGAGCAACTTGTGTTGCATCGCTTTATTTTGTATATTCTTTTACCATTATTAGTATTATTATTACTGTTCTTTTCCTCTTCCATTACAGTTCTATCAAACTGTCTTTATCTCAACCCACGAGGGTTTTTTTTCCCCTCCTTTTCTCCCTCTTTGCCCGACCCTACTGTGGAGGGGGGGAGTGAGCCAGCGCCTGCGTGGTCCTTGTTGCTGGCTGGGGGGCAACCCCGC